ATTCCTGTTTCCAGAAGGCCCACTTTATAACTATGCACTGATAAATATTGTCCTATATAAATATTAAGAGATATGTTCATAAACAACTGCAGAAAAGTGTTCTGGCTAAAAGTTCATCTTTAACTCCCCCTCTTGTGCCTACTCAGTACAGGGATAAGAAAGGGTATAAACCCAATTCTAATCTCTCACAAACTTTACATCAGTTGGGACTCCACTGACTTCAGTCGAGTTACCCCTGATTTTCACTGCTATAAATGAGTTCAGAAATGGGGCCTGTGCATACAGCAATATCTAAATGCATCAGGCTGAGTTCTGACCACTATCTAAACTAGCTTTTATCAGTCTACAACTTTACTTTAATTGTAGTGTTTTGGGCACATTTTTTCCCCAAAAGTAGAAAAGAAAAACTTCAATGTAGTTTGTGTAAATGTATGGATTATTTGTACATTTGCAATTATTATATCAACCCGCTTCTGAAGAGGAGCTAGTCACTGGGCCCAGATCCTCCATGTTCTCCCATCTGTGCATAGAGGACTTGCGGGATTGGGCCCATGGTGAAGTAGTTAATATAAATAGGGACAAAAATATTGCAGAGCTAACAATCTTTGCCTGTTTTTTTTCCTTTGTATTAATATGCATAAGCACTACTCTATCCTCTGGATTAATGGGGTTTAAAGTTCTCCTATTTTTACACTGAAGCTGTTTTTAGTTTACAACTTATATTAGGTTTTATAAAACTGCTTGTATAACTTAAAAAATAGTCCAAGTAATTTTTCCACCAATTTTCTCTCTGGCTCAAGCCTTTTATATGAAGTTTCACCTTAAAGTGAACTTTTGCAGACGAGATGCAAACTCTTAAAAATAGGGGATTATATTCTATTTGAAATGCTGACAGACCCTTAACTAAAGTAGGACTAACCTATGCTACTATACTATGCTGAAGTGATTTGTATATCAACATAATCAATTTGAAAATCAGATAAGGATTTCATTTCTTTTACTCTTCATGTAAAGTTAACATTTGTTAAAATGCCATCCCAGAATAGAACAAGAAGTCCATGTCTGTTTGAATAATGAAGTTTTATTCTGTCCCTCTCAAAACCTGCATGTGTCAAGAATCAAGGCACCAATTACTGGTATGAAATGAGATGATTTTTTTAATTGCTGACTGAAATTCAAACCTACTTTTAGTAACTTTGAAAATTAAAGCAAAATGTGTTTCGTTTTAATAAACAGCTCTTAAAAAGGAGAAAAAATATTTTCCAACACCAACAAATTATTTTTCCTCATAAAAGTAATGCTTACTGTTTAGCCAGTCAATCATTTTTGAACACTGCTTCCCCTCTAAATAGTCACACAGAAATATTTTTTTAAGTAAACAACATGGCATTTTTGCAATAATAAGGAAATCCAATGGATAAACATTTTGTTAAGAGTTTACTTCATACTCTGCACCACAGAGGTGCTTTTGATATGGGAGTAGATGAAAAACTTGACAGTACACGCACTCCAGAATACAAATAGCCGAGTGATTTGAAAGAATTCTCTATACACTGAAGGGAAACTTTTCTTGCAATAATTCTGCCTGCTCTTGTAACTGCAGTAAAACCACTTCAGTGAGCCAAAAGGCGAAAGCTGTCTAATCTCATTCTGTTTCAGCTGAATTGTTCAATAAAGTTTAAGAGTAAGTGCAGACAAGCTGCGCCAGGCCAAATTATTGACAGAAACATACCGTCCACCATGGCAACAAGTGGGAGTCTATAGCAAAAATGTAAGCAAACAACCCACTTCTCTAGCAGCATCTGCCAATAGATTCTTACAGCCAAACACAAGACAACGGTTACTGCTATCCTATGTTTAAAAAACGGCCTGCTTTAGGGTCAAAAGAAACATCTGATTTACTAAAACGTTTCAGAGAGATGAATGATTTAAAGTCAAAAGGCCTGATTCTCCTCTCACACCTGTTTTGTACCCCCACTTTTTAGCACAATTTCTCCTGACTTACTGAGGTATTACAGAAAAAGGAATCATGCCTAAATGATAAAATTTGCACTAGCTTCTCCTTCTCCACGTGTCCCCACTGAATGATAACTAGCTAGTAGCCACACACACGTTTAACAAGTACCCAGTCTGGAGCTATCAAATTAATCCAAGATTCTCCCATCTAATGGGAAATATATTTATTCTTGGTATTTAACCATACTCATTTTTTTAAACATAGCACCAAAGAATACTTTGTTTTATTAACAAATCTTTTCAAAAAGCTTGTAATCTATCTATTTGCCTAAGCAAATGCATTTTTAATTATTTATTTTGTTTACCTAACAAAAATGAAAAAAAAAATAAGGGAAACAAACATCAACATGTCAGTCCACTAAACTTCTTGTCTCCATTAAACTTTTGTTTGTTTGTTTTCATTAACGTTCTGCAGACACAAGTGGAAACTTTTTTATTCCAAGCCTTTTAAAGTCAGTTTCACACCATTG